GTTAGCTATTTTTATTTTGCAATTAAATTTGATATAGTAGCTAATCTTTTTTTTCCGTAAAATATTACGAGAATTACTTAATTTTGTAATCTGGAGTAATTTTCTATTGCGTAACAATTTCTCTATATTGCAAACTCCTCAATATTTCTCAACATTACCGTGATGTGTTAAAACGAATGACAATAAATGGTATCTCTTCGGCGTATTTATTATTAGGTTCTTGTCGAAATGTAGACAGACATATACCTCACGGTCAATGAAATAAAATGAGTAAAATGGAAAAAATTCTTTTAAATGTATTTATTAATTAACATGTTTAAAGTAAAGAAACTCGAAATAACTGTAGGTAGAAAAAGAAATAAAGAAAATATAAATTTATCGAAGATCTTGAAGAATCTGTTATCAGGATTACATGCAGCGATTGACTTAATTGGTCACTTCATTCGGTTCCCAGGTAGCACATATTATGGTTTCATATAAGTTTTTTGAACGTATACATAGTTTCATAACCGTAAATAACTGTTAAGAAACGTTTGAATAAAAATGTTTTTGAAACCATGATTTAAGAAACGTATTTTTTACGTTTCTACATTAACAAAAATACCTATTAGTTAAATTTTTTATTACAAAATTATATTTTGCTTTATCTATATATATAATAGCTTTAATAGTCTTTTTTGAAACATCTAAATTTATATTGCACTCATTATTGCACAAAATAAATCATTTTATCCATGCACATATATCCACTTATTTACTTAAATTAATTTTGTCCTGCCGGTTTTAATATATTTGTCATCGGACAAATCTGAGCTTAGAAAACATCCAACAGTTGCAAAATAGACGTTCTGCTAAACGTGGCTATTGAAAAAACATTTATACATGTGTTCCGTTTTAAAGAACTTCCTGAACTGGTGCACATCAGTAATGCAATTAAGTTAGAGTGAGACAAGCACATTTTGTTTCACTTTAACTTATTGCACAAATGTGCACCAGTTCAAGTTCGAAAAAGAATAGACGTTATCAGATGGTATATGCATAAAGCTTCTAGAACATTCTCACGCATGTCTCAAAGACGTCATAAACAGAGGTTCAAAAGACGTAAAAAGTAGGAATTTTAAATGTCTTTATCTAAAATGTCTTTATCATTAAAACAAAACGTTTCTATAATAGTTTTTTAAACGTTGTTTTATCGGAAAAGAAACGTTCCATCGAACGTTTTTCGAATAGACTGTTACTGGCCATTTCGGGTACAAATAGGGCGGAAAACGCCGCGGAGCGATAGTTTTTGACTTCGGTTCTGTTACTTCATTCTCGACTTTAATTCTAACTCTTAGTCATACAGTTAATCATACAGTTTTTTGACGTTTGGGCAAGGTGTTATTTGACACGAGCGCGGACATAGAATGACATAGAAGCTAAGCACCTCAATCGGAGCAGATCTATAAAAGGTGATAGAGAAAATGCCGCGCATCAAACCGTCAGGTCAGCCACCCAAAGTTTGGAAATTGATCGAGAAGACGGATAAGAACGGAAAACCGATGAAATTTACAATTCAGGAAATTCCTGAGGACCGATACGAAGACGCGGTACAACACATGTGCACGTATTACTTAGTCGACGAACCGACCTGCGCTTATTTGAGTAAGTGCAATGTCACCAATTATTCGATAACGTATCTTTTAATATCGATCTTATTCACCGTTCGCGGATTTATGATAAAAAAAAGTTACGATTAAAAGAAAAAAAAATCTTGCTAAGACCATTTTTCTTTTTTTAGAATAATTTCTAACGAAGCAGAAGAGGAATGAATATCTTTTATAATCATGCGCTGCAAGCTGCAACTGTTCTTTGTCACTTTTTGATCTATTTTATTTACAAATTTGATCTATTTTATTTACAGATGCAAAAGATGATCCCGTATTTGTACAAGATGTAAGCACGCGCTGGCGCTTATTACTCGCGGAAGGCATATCCATAGCCGCATTCACCGACAATCCTGACGGTGGGAAACCCATAATCGCCGGTATGAACGTTCTGGGTATTCGTAGTAAAAATGAGAAGGATAACATTTACGACTATTACGAGGTAAGTTCTGTTAAATTTTGTAAATTTAATAGCTCTGTGTGTGTGTGTGTGTGTGTTTGAGTTCATTCTATAGCAAGTTTTATTATGATTGTTTATAAGTGCATATATATAATATACTAGGTTTTTTTTTAGCCTAGATCGCTTTCCTAAACCCTCTTTGTTCTTATTTTTTTCTTTGCATACAATTTTTTCTCCACTTTAAGTTATATTTTCCTCTCTAAAATTTATGTATATATAGAGATATATATTAATTTTTCCCGCGCATCGCGCGGATGAACCTTCCGCTAACCCGCCATTTTTAGCTCATTTTAATTTTTTCAATTATTTTTTCTAATTCTGTATTGCGTTGCATTTTGGCACTCAAGTTAAGTAGTACAATCCTTTTATTTACTCTCATTTTGATAAAAATTTATACATTGTTTTTGATTTTAAAGAAGTTTCAGTTTTTCCACATCATAAATGCCTGTTTTTTAATTTCCGCGAGATATTGGGCTTCTTCTTGTTTCTTGTTGGAGGAGGAAAATGCCTAATGCATAATCTAGGGCCGGTCCCTAGGGTTATGCCGGGCTTGCACTGGCATTAACGTCCATTAATGAAAAATTAAACTCATCGTCGCCATCCCCGATTAGAAAAATTTTGGTAACGGTTTTCAAAAAATCGGTTATGAAAAATTATACACATTATCGCCATCCCCGAAAAATTAGAAAAATTTGGGTACCGTTTTAAAGAAAATTGGTCAATTAATTGAATGAATAGTTCGCAGTCAGAAAAATTTTAGCACCTGCTGTTTCCAAAAAATCGGTACATTAATAAAAAATTAAACCCATATGAAAAATTCTACACATCATCGCCAACCCCAAAAAATTAGAAAAATTTTGGCACCGGTTTCAAGAAAATCGAGCCATTAATACATATTATTTCTCGAAAAATTAGAAAAATTTTGAAACCGGAGGTCAAAAGTAAAATTTTTTGCGCGTCGAACATTTGTAATATCTTAAATATTATTGTGTCTTCGAATCTCAAAGTAAGTGATTCTAAAGAGTAATGCATGCTGAACACGAATCCAGTACATTTTTTTTTATTTTAATTGATTTCTAAAATATTTTATAAGCGATCAAACTTGAAACTTGTGTCCGGGGCGAAGTCGTTACTAAGCCATATCATGGAGGCTTCCGGCGAAAATCAAAGTTAAAGAAGCAGCAGTGGTCGGATTCCGGCGAAGACTTGGATAATATCTTCTGCGTGTGCTCAGAGATGACAGAATAGAGCTGACGAGAAACGTGGGAGCGTAGGGCACATAAGTGTGTGCGCTTTTCTTATAACTTGTAATTATTTTCCATTATCGTGTTTTTAATTAATGTTTCCATTATTCTATTAAAAAATAATTAATAAAATGTATCTCATCATTTTTCATGATCGGAATTATGAATTTTTATTTAAAATTCAGTCCGAGAATGGAGTGACGATTCCGCCCCGGCAATTTTAACATTTCAGTTTTTGCACCTTTGTAGTTTTCACTCTATATCAGTTGAACAATGCGACGTAGACCAAAAATGTATAAATTTTGTAGCCAAGGGTTTACTCTTTACAACGCGGTATACCACATTTTACTAAAATTATTTGTTTTGTTGTTAAAAATCGGCACCGAAAAAATAGTGACGACTTCGCCCCGGTCTCCCCTATGCGTTATCAAGCACCATTATCGCAATCTATGTAATTAACATAAGTTGTAATTGATAATTGTAACAGTTTAAGTCGGAGAAATACAAATATAGGACCGAGATTGGTGCTAATGCAACGAAGGTGGTATACGAACGTTATCCCGAAATTGATAAGTATCTGTATGCTATTGGGCTTAGCGTAGACCCCGCTTACCGAAGATACGGATTATGCAAGGATATTCTGAAAACCAGGTATGATTTGTGTTAAAATATTTATTATATATTTTTTTAAAGAGCTTTGTATTTAAATAATGTAGAATTAAATTAAAATTATAAGGTTTTCGAAATTAAAGCAATTGAAGGAAAAGAGGCAGTAAAAGCCAGCGCGGTAAATGGGCGCAAAGTTATATATATTTTTCAACCCGTTAATAATTTATATACATAAAAGTTCGCGAACGTTTCGACCATTTTTTGTAGTCATTTTCAGCGCAATTTATACGTGGTCATAAATAAATCATTTAAAAATATACATATACTATACGCGGTCGTGAGTCGTGAGGCTAAAATATTGTATACTCGCACGCTCCTTTTACTATGAGTTTTGCGGTCCGTCAAGTGTGTGTGTTATAATGCAGGCGAGCAACCTTGAAATCTTTCCCAAGTTGGAAAGCTAGGAGGACCATGTTGCATTTGATATTTCACTGTATTACAAGATACTTGCGTACATACGGAGTAGCACACTAAATTTACGGTTGACATCGAAATAAAATTGAACATTATTAGTTACTTACAGTGAAACATGATCTTAACGGTATAGCGTACAAGTTGAAAAATAACAGACGCAAGTTGCCTCTACGACGCTTGGAGGAGTAATGACCGGTGTAATATGTTTCGTCTGCCTCGAGGTTAAAAGATCGATGTATGACAATAATCGCTTTTCAGGGCGCCGATTGTAAAATGTGAAGTTGATAACAAAAGTGTCAATGTAAGTGTCAATGTCATTAATCAAAGAATATTGTGACATTTTCTTTTAATTAAAGAGAGATTTTATAATAGTAATGAGTGATAAAAAAACATAAAGTGAAGAGTAATGTGGGCAAAAGTATAAAAGGACAATTTGTGAAAATAAAAGTTGATAATAAACCGTACGTGATGAACTGAAGTGTGACATGAGCGCACAGCTTGCATAGCGTTGCCAAATAATTTCTTGAAAGTCGCCATTAAAAATATTTATCTATAAACCACATTTCAAGTCAACTTTTAACATAAATATTTTGTTTAAATATTCGGTGACTCTGTATTTTTATCGGCACTATCGAAAGTATAGAGTTTAGCGAATATGTAGCGCAGTTAATATTTAATATCTTAAAATATTTGATAAACAAATTATTACATTGAAATGTGGAAAATAGACTTTTTCGATAACGTCACATATAAAATATTGAATTTTCAAAGTCATAATTCTTCTTTATATGTTCGGTAATGTGGTTTAATTTTTTTCTGGCGTAAAGATATGCATTTTAACTTTCTCGTACCAAAAAATCAGTTAATTCTTAAGACTTTAGTGTCATGAAAGGAATACCTTAATACGCCTCATTACTATATTATTAATACGCGAGCTATTTAGCATTTTTTATATTTGATTTCTATTAATTCAGTATTTATCACATTAATCCGTTTTGTTTATTAATATCTCACGTAACTTAAATCTTGATCTAGAGATCTTATCGGACCTATGTACGGAGTGCCAGCGACATCCACTGGGTTCACATCGATAATTTCGCAAAAGTCAGCGGCAGGTGTGGGATTCGAAGAATTTTCGAAAACAAACTTTTCCAATTTGGTAGATAAGAACGGAAAGGAGTATTTTCCCGGTATTAGTATTAAAGAGTATAAAGTTATGGGTAAAAGGTTGTGTTCAGTAAAATTTGAATCAGCGCGCAGCGCGCTCTAGTGTTCTCTCAATAAAAAAGTAAAATCCAGTGAAATACAGTCACTAATAATTCTCGACCCAACAGGTTGCCTTAATATAGTCCGACAAGCGGGACAATAACTAATACGGAAAAAGGAGATTAGCTACTGTAGCAAATTTAGTGATATTTAACATCTTTTTTGCACAGCGAGAGCTATAATTTAGCAATAGTAGCAAAACCTTTTGCTCTCGCTGCAACAAATTGTTAGCTATTTTTATTTTACAATTAAATTTGATATAGTAGCTAATCTTTTTTTCCCGTGAAATATTACGAGAATTACTTAATTTTGTAATCTGGAGTAATTTTCTATTGCGTAACAATTTCTATATTGCAAACTGCTCAATATTTCTCAACATTACCGTGATGCGTTAAAACGAATGACAATAAATGGTATTTTTTCGACGTATTATTATTAGGTTCTTATCGAAATGTAGACAGACATACCTCATGGTCATTGAAATAAATTGAGTAAAATGAGAAAAAATTCTTTTAAATGTGTTTATTAATCAACATGTTTAAAGTAAAGAAGCTCGAAATAACTGTAGGCAGAAAAAGAAA